AGATCGCTGTGCTGCTGCTGCCATTGTTCGTCTCCTTGCTGCTAGGATGTCGTATTCCAATGGATCGTAATCTATAAATTATAGTGGAACTCGATGCAACGCAATTGCCACTCGCAAGAGAAAAAAAGATCGGAAACGTGGACTGCTGAAGATGACGCACCTAGGATTTAGCCTTCACATCTCGAAAGTCAAACATCTGCGATCAGAAATTTCACATACAAATCCAAATGATCTTTTTTGGCATGTGTTCAAGATTGAACGGAATGTTCAAGATTCAGACGTACAGTTTAGGGTAAAAGATGTGTACAGAAATTATTTCTTGCGCTATCTAAATGTAAAAGTACAGAGGACTGAAAACTGCTAACAATTCGACTGAAAAAAATTCTGCTCTTGAAAAGGCCATAAATTTTGCACTGCCTACTATCGTTGCTCATTCCGCACGTCGGATTGATTCATTTATCAAATCTACACCTGTCTCCTTCGCAGTTTCGGGTTTCAAGCATAGCTTGTTAAATTCGAAAACAAAAGCAAAATTTTCAAGCAAATTTTCGTGTCATCATAGTGATTCTATCAGATTAGAACAAAAATGAACAGTGGACACAATGCCCGAATCTGACGCTTTTAGTCATACAGATGCGATTATATTAAAGCAATGGAGCAAATTACCGAAGAGCTTCGGATTCGCTAGCAGAGACTGAATGGTGTTCACAGAGCGCTCGAACTGCTTGGCCGCATTGGCATAGCTCCCGAAAGGATAATCGAACGGCCTACATCCTTAAATAGTCCATAACTTGTTCCGTCTCATTTACATTTCGCATTTTGCGCATAGATGCAAAGAAAAAACAATCTCAGCAACTCAGAGCAGTGTGTATTTTCTAGAGTAAGAAACAGGAAGCCTGCAGAGCAGAATGGAGGGAAAGCTGTCTTACAAAAATTTCCAGTCCTGAGACTGCCACTTTCTAGTTGTGGTGCAAACGTTCGAACCTATAAAATTTCTCATGCCTAGTTCTGGTTTCAATTTTAACGTGGTTTTTCTGACGAAAATCGGCCAAAAAAAATTCTTTAAAAAAGCCTCTATGTAAACACAAAGTTGCCACGCCAGGATGCTCAAATTTTGCTGTCTCTATTTTTTAGTACACAGATTGATATAACTATAATTGACAAATTTATATATATGTGTATGTATTATAATCATATTTATTTGTTACCAAATGGACTATTTCCCCAGCGCCTTTGCCTCATGCTGACCGTGAACATGAAAGGAGTTTTCACTTAGCCATCTTCGCAGAGTCTTCAACTGAATTTGGATGGATTGCGCAGTAAAGTGATTGTATTCCAGGGATAAAAGAAAATTAAGCAAAAATGTGATGAAAGTAACGGCATGTTAAGAGGTACTTCAGGTAGAATATAAGAGGTATGGAAGACTGAATAATCTGGACAGGTTACTATCCGGCTTTTTTGTTGCTTTTATTATTC